TCCTGCTGCAAGAGAACATCCTTCCTCTCACCCATGAGCTGATTGGTGGGACAGGGATGACATTTTTGAAAACAAAGTCCACACAGGGCTCCTTGACAGCTTGCCTCTCTCTGGGTGTGCTATCAGAAAGTTAGTTCTCTTCCCTCCCTCCCTGTCATTTGGAAGGAGAGCAGGGGATCTGTGGGATATTGGGTGTACTCAACACTCAAGAGAAGTATACAGAAATTCAAGTTAGATTGAAAGGAGGGAGCTTTTCTTGGTAGGTATTGATATAATTTCTTATGGAAAAGCCGGTTTTCTTTTGCAAGAAATCCCTAGAATGGCTGTACAGAGACACTTTCTTTGTGTGTCAAGAAACAGGCTCTTCTCTGAGCACAAATATAATGCCTGTTCATGGCCATAGTGTATTACAGCTATTTTATAATTGTATAACATACTTATATGGATAATATAATATGCTTATATATAAACATATACTTCTAGAGTGTATAGTGCATTATAGTTATAGAATATAATAGACTCTAATCTACTAGATTATAGTCACGGTATGGGCACACAGAAATTATCGTGATGTTAGCTGGCAAGGATGACAGATACACTATGTTAACAGCCCATTTTTAACAGCCCATGCATTTACCTCATGACAAATATAAGTTTATTCCCACTTTCTCTGAATAAATTCATGCCCAAAGGTAGTTACAGAAGAGTAGATTGTATATTTTAAATGTATCCCCTGACTTATTTATTTTACATTTACCCTCTCTTTCTGTCCATCAATGCTTTTACTCTATTGTGACTGGTTGATGTATTTTTAACCAAGCAGCACACACACTTTCTGAGTTTTTATAAATTGCTTTGTTTTTTTCTTTCATAATTTACTAGCAGGTTTTTGAATGTCTCTTTTCAGGGACTGCCTATAAATTTTGGGACAGTTGGAAACCCTGCCCATACACCAATATTGCCCAAGGCCTGGAGCTGCCCAGATATTCTCTTGGTGCTATTATAGACAAATCAGTTATTTTTAAGCAATAGGTTGGTCTCACATTAGAAACTTTCCTTTATTTAAATTTGGGCATTATTGCAACATTATCTAGCATGCCCACTACTGAAGCCTTAAGTATTATCTGATGCTATATTTTGACAGTGATTTGTCTTTGAGGTTGTATTCTGTAAAATACACCATTACTGGTTTTGATTGACAATACTGTTGTACAGAAGATGGAGAAGGGAGGGCAGCATGCCAAAAATAAAAATGCTCTTGAATAAGATGCTCTTAAATAAGTATACATATTCAGGAACAGCTAAGACTTTGGGTTCGGCTGTACTCTGTAAATGAAAAACCAACTTCAGTAGGAGATGACTTCTTGACTTTTTGATTAAGCTCAACTGAAGAACAATTTCAAAGTAGGGCTTGTATTGATGCACATAATGAAAAAAATGTCTCCCAACATTTAGTTATGAACATCTACATTAGAAAGAAAGTAGAATAAAGTTTTCTCTCAGAGCTAATTAAGTAAAAATCAGAGAAAACTAATATGGTTCTGAAATCATGAGGTAGAATTTCTTCATCAACAAAGAACCATTTACAGATGAAGATAATCACACCTCAGAGCTGATAGTCTCCTTCCTTTCACAGACAAATATAAAAAATAAAACAAAGAGAAGCAAGAAATCCCTTTAGGTAATACATGCTTAATAAATTGTTTTTGGTGGTTGAAAAACTGACAATTTAGTTTCTAAATGACTATGGTGATAAATGTTCATTTTGGGTGAGTTTTAAGATGAGTACTTGAATCTTACATGTTTGTTTATATGATAATCTGGTTATACATTCCCTCAAAGTTCAATAATTTGCTTTGGGAGCTCAAGATATCCAGGAATGGATTAATTTGGTTTAGTTTGCTTTGTTAGTATGCTGATACTTGTCCCTACCATACCAGCTGATGCCAGAAAGAAGCATTTGATACTTGTACCTACCATACCAGCTGATGCCAGAAAGAAGCAGAGAGTGTATAAAATAGAAATATTAGTGTTCATTCATTTCTTTAAGATTCAACTTTGTTTTTAATGTTATGAGTGATAGTACAGGCTATTCCATGTTTCTTGTTTCTTCTGGGTGCTAAGACTCTATCAAGTCATAACAGGTCCACTTGCTAAAGTTTTTCATTCAAAAGCAGCTTTTACTTGGCACATTTTTTTTTATATCTCTGTGTTAACCTGTTTAGTCTGATGTGTTTCCTTTGATTTCACATTTGTGGTTAAGTGCAGTCATCTGGAAATAGGAAGTCCTGGGTTCTGTTCTAGGATGATTTCTGTTTCTTAATTGTTTAATGTTAAATGCAGAACTAGTCTGTTTGGCTGAGGATAGCCTACAACCCTAGCCTTCCACTTCCATTACCACTGGCTATCTCTCAACAAGTATGAGCTCATTTGGATGCCTACCCGAAGAAGAAGACTTTGTACTCTGTATCTGAGTAGATTAGGGTGCCTTAAGTTCGGGGAAGGACAGGATTTCAGGGACACCTCTTTTCAGTGTTTTCTACTGGCTAGCTGTAGCCAGCTTCCTACTCTAGCCTGACAGTGGGAGGCAGAGCACAGCCCGGCGGCAGGAGGCGGGCAGAGCCAGGGATGCACTCTGATCAGCTCTGCCAGCCCCATGGAGCTCAGCCTGGTGGCAGGACATGGGGAGAGCCAGAGCTGCACTCCATGTCCTGCTGCCGGTCTGAGCTCCATGGGGCTGCAGAGCTGCTTGGAGCGCAGCCCTGGCTCTCTCCTGCCTCCTGCCACTGGGATACTTTGAAATTTGAAATGTTTCAAAACTTTTGAAACATTTCAAGTGCCCTCATTTTGTTTCAAAGCTATTTTGAAGCTTTTTGTTTCATTTTGGTTTTGCTGTTTCCAGCTTGAAACATGTCAAAACAGCTCGCCAAAATTTCGCACAGCCCTAATCTGCATGGGATACGAGAAACGAAAGCATTTTGCAACATCCTGTTTCAGAGGTCTCTATACTTCCCTCTGGGCAGTGGCGGTGGTGGGTCTACCACCAGTGAAGGGTCCTGTAGTGGCAGTGCGTCTAGGGATGAGAGTTTGACAGTGGCAGTCGTCCTGTGGCAGCAGTGGCAAAGAACCAAGCTTAACACCCGATGGCTATGACCAGTGGGGCCAATGGGCCCTGAATTCTTCAGCAGGCCACAACTCCCCACTTAAAGTTGCCCACTGGTAGCCAGGTAAGCTGGATAGAGCAACTCTTCAGGTTGGATCTGGCCTGTGAGCCATATGTAACACCCCCGATCAAAAGTATCCATATGAAAACTGGAAAGATCATACTAAAACTTCATGTTATTAAAAGCATTTCAAATATAGTATTAAGCAAAATCCCTTTTCCCTTTATGTCTTTAGATCCATTATTTTCCAAAATTTGCTTTTTTGTGACTGTTAAGGTTTAGTATTTAGACAATAACATATCACTAAAGTAGATTTAGCAGTATATTACTACATGCAGTAGTCTATAGGGGTGTGCAAAGTGGGCCTTATTTGATTCGGATTCAGATTCGGCCTGAATCAGGGACAGTGATTCAATTAATTGATTCAGATCACTATCCCTGATTTGATTCAGTCAATCCAAATCTGAAGTTTCGATGCTGATTTGGAGAATCAGCGTTTCAGCCATAGATATAGCTTTAAATGTTTTTTCTACATACCTTGAGATACCAGCATGGCTCATGAACGCTGCGATGCTGGGGCAGACGGACTGTCCCAACAGAGTGTGGGAGGGGCCCTCCATGTGCTCAGTGGTGAACCTGGAAGTGGATCAGAAGTACTTTCAGACCACTTCTGGGTCCACCAGGGAAAGTGCTGGGGGTCCCTCTGTGCCCCCCCACTCAGCAGTCAGCCACAGAGGGACCCCGGGTTCCCCCCCAGATCCAGGAGGCACCAGTCACTGAGCCAGGGGGATGCAGGGCAGGGGGAGGGGCAGTGCACTCCCCGGCAGACCCAGAAGTGCTTCTGGTCCACTTCCAGGTCTGCTGGTGGGGGCACTGGGGAGCCCCCTGCACTTCTGTGGGACATTCCATGCACCCCAGCATCACAGCATTCATGAGGCGCCTGGTACCTAGAGGTATGTATTACAAACATTTCAAGCTGTGTCTATGTCCAAATCACCAAATCTCTCCAAATCGATGCAGAGAGTTCCAATTCGATTCGGAGAGATTAAAGGGTCCTCTGATTTGATTTGAATTTGGAGAGTCAGCCACTGAATTGGCC